CAGTAGACATGCAATATATGGCAGTTGAAAAAATGGGCATTTAACAGGAATCTCTAAAGATTCTCTGGAAGTAGCCAAAGATGCATAGTTGTCTTTGCAGTGCATTCATGCAGAGGCACACAGAGTCTGTATCCAATCCATCACATGGTGTGAGGTGCAAACCTGTCTTGACAGCCAGGCTCGACATACTTTAATTTTTAATTTGTATAGATATGTGATAGTTACATACATACGTACTACACGCAATCCAAGGGCTTGCTCCATCCTTTGCTGAGAGCAAATCAGTTGCCGCCTGGTGTTGCGGCATGGCCTTCATCCAGTAGGCTCCAAGGCCCGCCCTAGATCTGCTGATCTACTTCAGGCTGTAGGGACAAGTCGTAAACCCAGTTCCAAAATTCTTATGTGTAGCGGGAGGTGGGGTACTGGCATTTTTGTCTCCTCTCAAGCCCTGTCAGACACTAGAGCCATTCAGGGAACGGAAAGGCTAGGGTGGTTTTATGGCAACAAAGGTCTGTTTGTTAAAGGCCTGATTGGTCCTTGCTTGCTTTACTAGATGTCAATACAACAGTTCTCTGTATTTTCCTTGGAATAAACTGGCTTTTGTAACACACAAGGAAACGAGCCCTTGTTCAACTGAGGCTTTCTAAATATTAGTGACTTTAACTTGATTATTTCCATTTCCTATTCCTATGACTTTGTGAGGCTCCTGTTCCCAGAAAGCCCTTTTTTTTTTTGGTATCATGACTCTTTAGGTTGGTAATGTTTTAGGTCATTCTGTTCTTGTGATCTGAGTAAGTGCTAAAAGCCTTTAAGATACTTTTAAAGAATCTTTAAATAGAAATGTTTTCAGATTTCAGCAATCAAACTGTGTACTCTTGCCTGTACTGGTACATACACAGATGCTACTTGATAAACACAACGGCATTCTACACTCTATTGTACAGCAGAGTGCTTAAGAGTAGACCAACAACCAGACCATAGTAGTTCGGGGTGTCAACTCAAGGAGAGTTGACAAAGATTATATATTAAGTGACTTAATCTCTCAGATTTCCAGCATAACAAATGAATCTTAAAGTAATGGCAGATTCAGATATCCTTACAGATTCTTAGCATATGGCTTTGTCAGCATTTCCTTCCTCAAGTCCTGTGTCAACTTGCTGACCTCTTGGCTTCTTGGGTTACTGCCATCTTTTTGTATAGTCTCAGCTATAAAAACATGCTAGCCCTTGCAACATTTCCCTCCTAAGAAGAATGAAAATTAACCATGTGGGAGTCCCCTCTCTCTGACTACTCTAAATGAGGCCAGTGAGGCACTTTTACCTCAAAGTCCTCAAACACCAAATCAGAGGGATGGTACCTAACCACCCTTGAGCTTCTAGCACAAGTGTGTAATTAACCTTAGAGTTTTGATGTTGTTACGTCTCATTTTTACATAAGTCATTTTTCTCCTAGCCACTTAAAAAGTATCTTTTGTGACTTTTATGCTATTAATTAGAAATGTCAACGTGAGCTACAGCTGGACTTAAATCTGGTGAGAAGGTGCGTATTTTCAACATGTCTTGTAACATTTACTCAGCACTAGCAGCTTGGGTTTGCTTAGTTTTCATTTTTTAAGCTTTTGATATTTTTTGTATTTGTTTTCAATGACACATTTCAATTCTAAAATATTATTTATAAACATTTCTCAGATCTCAGCTTACAGTATGTGTCATGGGTTTTGAAGTCACAGATCATAAAAAGATTCACGAAATTAACAATTCTTCTAATAAAAATTGTATGACTGTGGCAATGGTTGCTATTTATTCACTTGGGGTGGCTGGCAAAATATTTAAGATACATTAGGAAAAGTTATAGTCTCAAACCTTTTGGAAGGCCGAAAGGTTTCACAGGGGCAGCCTGAAGGTGGCCAGCCAGTCCATTAAGTTAGGGAGATGATAGGGATGAAAAGAGGCTTTTCCCAGCTTAAGTCTGTTTACCCCACATCCCTTTGTCTCCACTCTTGTTTATTCATGTTAATTTTGTGCTGGGTGGCCCTCTCCAGGGAGGGTCAAAGGGGAATTATCTGTTAATAGTATTTACTCTGGGCCCCAGAACATAAAGTTTTATCATTCATATAACCACTCTTTTAATCATCCACAAGTGTGTTGACTTAGAAACTGTTATGAATAAATGTGTGGATAGACAGGGAGTCTTGGTTGATTGGTTGCATTTTGCCCTCTGAAAGCAGCCAACAGCCAGCCCTCCCTGGCCCACCTGTATCACAGTCATAGAGTGAAGAGTGCATTCATTCATCCATCTCATGCGTCGTTGAGTCACGGTCTGCCGGCCAGACTTCCACAGGTGGTGACCAATGTCTCATTTAAATATATTCTCCCTATTAGCAATAGTACAAAATAAAAGTGAAAAAAATAAAATGATTCTCCCCCTTCTTCCATAATCATTCATTTAGCTGTTTTAGGTGGTACATGGTCATCCAAATTGAAGACTTTTTTTAGTCTTTAGGCTTTTTTAAAATAGCCATATAGGAAAGTTCTGGCCAATGGAATGTGAACAGAAGTGCAAGAAGTGTGCACAATTTCTGAGTCATCTTTTCTCTCATCCCCATGCACCTGAATCCTGTCTCAAAGTACATCAGAAAGTATTCTGCTTAGAAAGTATCTGTGAGCATTCTAAACTAATGCCCTAAGTATACTTATGTGTGGGGTTGGCTGTTTTCAAAAAAGTGTTCTGTCACACCAAACTACAGTATTACTGAAGGTGCCCAGGCCCAAGAACTTTTGCTTGTGTAAGGACATGTAGAGTCAGGGGTTCAAAGTTCTGCTTTGAAAACCACTCATGGGCTCTCCACAGCACTGGGCTTTGGTTAGCTACGCAAAAAGACAGAATTGGCAATGCCAACAATTTAGTAATACAAACAATAGCAAACACATGTGCTTATTACATGCACTTTACATCACTCTCTCCACTGTTTTTTTTCTCACAACACTCATTATCATTTGTCATAAAATATTTGCTAACTGCCCACTCTCACAAGAAAATAAGCTCAATGAAAGCAGAACCTATGTTCTATTGATTCCTGCACCTAGAACTACTGGCACATTGAAGGCACTCAGTGTGTTGAATGGATGAGCGAAGAAGCCAATCTGCTTTCTAAAGTCTTCCTTGGCTAGTCTTTTGCTTAGTGTCTCTTTTAGTTCATACCTAAGTGGAAGTATGAGAACATACCTGGTTGTAGGCCTTGAATATTTGATAAGCAGTAAGCCATCCAGACACACTGAAGGATTCCAGCAGTTAAAGCACAGGATTTGAGGGGATGGGATGGAGCCAGCTGGAAACATGAACACCCACTATATGATGGATCACTCCTGCCCTTCTCAAGAAGCTACATTTGGGCAGAAAATTATCAAGAATGGGAACTTTGTGAACTATATATGCTAAGTTTTGCAATCAATAAACTGCCTGATAAATTAAACTAAAATGTCTGGTAGGCTCTGTAATTTCCCTGTAACACAGGACAAGGGGCCCAGGAAGTCCTGCTTACTTCCCAACTCTCCTATAAGAAATAAACTAATGGAAAGCACTCTTATCTATTGGGTGACTGATAAAGAATATTGTTCGCCTAAGCCCACTGGACTGGTATTCCTCCTGTCTGCACCAAAGACCAGCCTTCCCCCCCCAAAAAAGCTCATCTTTTTCCCTTGGGTTGGGCTGAGTATCAGCAGAGTCAGCTATCAGGTAGTGTAGACTGGGCTGTAATCTGGGATGATAGCAATAAAAATCTGCACTGAATGTCTATTTGTGACCTGTGAGACCAAGGCTGTTTTGTGCTGTGGGTTTGGTCTCAAGGGGTGATACATTCCATTAATCTGACCTCCTGTCCTTACGTATAAATTCCTGTTTTTAAATTTATGTCTCAATTCAGGTTCCCAAGTCAAATTCCCATCCCCAGATTATTTCCCTGGGTAGAATGTCTAAAAAGGGAGTTATTGGATTAGGGGTATGGACTCTGGAGATTCTATGGCCAGTTTTCATCCAAAACAGCTGTACCGGTATATACTCATTTTAGCTTTAGATAAGCAATCAAACTTTGTGTACTCTTGACCATACTGGTACATACACATATACTACCTGATAAACACAACAACATTCTACAGCAGAGTGCCTAAGAGTAGACCAACAACCAGACCATAGTAGCTCTGGATGTCAACTCAATTGGAGTTGATAAAGATTATATTAAGTGACTGAATCTCTCTGAGCCTCAGTTTCCTAATCTATGAAATAGGTATGACAAAAGTGCTTCTTTCATAGGCTCAATTAAATGAATGATTATATATAAAAGCTCTAAGAACAGCCTTATACTTACAAAGCAGTTTCTCTTTTTTTTTTTTGAAACAGGGTCTCACTCTGTCACCCAGGCTAGAGTGCAATGGTGCGAACTTGGCTCACTGTTCAAGTGATTCTCCCACTTCAGTCTCCCAAGTAGCTGGGACTATAGGCATACACCATCACACCTGGCTAATTTTTATATTTGTGGTACAGACAGGGTTTCAACATATTGCCCAGTCTGGTCTTGAACTCCTGGGCTCAAGTGATTGTGCACCTAATCCTCCCAACTGAGCCACTGTGCCCAGTTCCTTTTCTGATTTCTGATTCCAACATATAACATGGGTAAAACATGGATAATACTTATTGAACACAGCCCAAAAGTTGTTTAAACAATAAAATGGAAGTGGGTATGAAGCACGTCACATACTGAAAAACAATTAAAAAAAAAATAAGGCAACATGAAAGAAATAAGCCACAGGTCTTAAATATAAAAACACCTCTTCAAACACAAGAGACCAAAATTTGTAATGTTAAGAAGGGTAACTTATAAACGTACAACTTACCAGTTTACATGAAAATGGTTTAATAAAAGTGTAACTTAAAAAGCTGGTAAAATTTATTGGCTAAGAGCACATTTTGTTTTCCAACCACAGCATATATTATGCAGACACTTATCAGTGCAAAGCTTTTAATTCTTTATCATGTACTCTGAATCCTACAGACTATTAAATAGGTAACATGATACAATCAAAGGTTTCTTTGGCACACATAATTATATGTACCGATATATTAAACTCAACTGCATATTACCCTTTAAACTTACCTGACTAAAGGCATCTGATCAAAAGATAAAAAGTGAACAATTTTAATAAGTAGTTGTGTTTATCAATAAGAGTCCACAAGGTAACAAAAAGTGTAGATATCTTTTTGAAAATTTATACAAAACAAACCTTCCATGTTACTAAATCAACAAATACAATCACCTGGGTATACTTTTATTAGGGAAAAATGATGATACTGATTATTAAAAAGAGAACAGGAAAATGAAAATGCACCTCAGACCAGAATACCATAACAAAAGTTTTGTGGAAGCTGCATTTTATTTGAAAATCCACCCATTTTGCTAACATACATTTTAATATTGTAAACAAAAATAGAATCTGCAGAGACAATGCAACAAGAATGCTTAAACTCATGTACAGAATTGCTTTCCTACAATGAACTGTCCTTCTTAAGGCCCCTCTCAACCCAAATGTTAAGATGTATTTACACAAAGCACCGATCAACAGTGCAGTTTAATTCGCTTACTAAACTCTTGGCTAGACATTAATGATACTATTTCCCCTTATTTAAAAGGTACATGATTATAACATGGCACAAGCCAAATAAAAAGTTCAAGGACTTTGCCCCCCTTCCCTCCCCCTTGTAACACCTTCTAGAGTTTTTGTGAAAAGAAGGAAAGTCTTGAAGTGAAAGCAATTCCTCACATTCATTTTGGAAAGGCCCTAATGTCAAATGGAAAATAATGACATGCCAAGCACAAAGCAGTAAAGATCCTTCCCAATGCACTAATGCTGAATTTAAAATGTAGTGCTTTTCCTAGTCAGTGAACTGTTCCCTGGCAAAATCCTAGGCACAGAATTGACTATAAGGATTAATGCATTTATAATGCTTCCCTAAATCCCATAGAGACAGAATTCTCAAGAGATTCAGACCTATGGACTTGCCTTAAAATATTTAGTGCTCTGTATGTCAGCTGAGAAAAGCATTCTGAATCAGATTCATTCTTGTGGATAAAAATCAAACATACTGTGCACATCCATACTCATTTTCGTAAGGAGGTTTGATACAATATTAATGTTACGTAAAATTGATAATCATAAATAAATACAAATACTTAAGGAATGTCTACTGCAAACTGAATATAATTTTTTTTTTTTTAAAAAAAGAAAAGTTAATTTCAGTTACTATTGCTGTATATTTGTGAGGACTGGAGAAAAGAAAGATAATGCATAATTAAGAATTTTAATTTTGATCCCCCCAAAAGAGTCCTGTTGAAATACAGTAAAGGACACAGTTCTTCTCTCCAGGCAGCTTTTCCAAATACAAATTTCACACTTTCCAAATAAGGACTTTTCTTGATAGGTTACTGATTATGGGTATTAACAGGAGTTGAAAGAACTGAAGGGTTAGTTACCAAAAAGACAGATCTTAGTCTTAAATCATAGCAATTCTTGGCTTTATAAACTGTATTGATACGTTCTCCTATAAACTAGTCCCAATTTCCTTCATGGGCCTTCACTGAGTTACTTGTAGCATTCTAATGGAAGAAAAGAGTTTGAGAGACAGCAGTTTGGATTTTGCTGGAAGAAAGGATTTTGCTGCTTGAGCACTTGTCTTTTTGGAGTAATTCCATTCTCTTCCATCAAGTTACATAAACTGTATCTGAAAAAAACAAAAAAAACAAAAAACAAAAAAAAAAAACAGGGGAATACATTAATTGATTGTATTGTAGGATGTCTTCTCAGAAATAAAAATGCTTTGTGGTCTTTACCATTTAACTGGCCCAGAAGTGTTTACAACATGCTTATGACAAACCCTGTTTATAAAACAAAGTCAGTATTATTATCAACTTATGTGCCAGAGAGCTCAACATTTGATGCATATAGCGAATTCCAAATGTTTTTTGTTGTGGTGGTGGTTTTTGAGACAGAGTCTTGCTCTGTTGTCTAGGCTGGATTGCAGTGGCTTGATCAAAGCTCACTGGCTGGGCATGGCAGCTCATGCCTGTAATCCCAGCACTCTAGGAGGCTGAGGCGAGCAGATCACTTGAGGCCAGGAATTCGAGACTGGCCTGGCCAACATGGTGAAACCCTGTCTCTACCAAAAATACAGAAATGAGCCAGGTGTGGTGGTGGGTGCCTGTAATCCCAGCTACTTGGGAAACTGAGGCAGGAGAATCACTTGAACTTGGGAGGTGGAGGTTGCAGTGAGCTGAGATTGTGCCACCACTACACCTGGCTAATTTATTTGTGGGGAGGAGAGGTGGAGAGTAGAGACTGGGGTCTCACCATACTGCCCAGGCTGGCCTTGTACTACTAGCTCTAAGTGATCCTCCTGCATCAGCCTCTCACAGTGCTGGGATTACAGGCATGAGTAACCATGTCCAGGCCAAATAATTACTAAAAATTGAGGAGCAGCATGTGGAGGAGGAGGAGAAGAAAGATCAATGACCTATATATTCATGATGAGTTCAGAAAATTCTCTCCATAAGCACAAATACCACATGCTAAATCTCATTTGGGAAAGCAAAATTTGAATATTATTTCCAAATGAAATATAATTAAAGGTAATAAAGGGAACAATAATATTATACTAAGTCATTTTTATTAACATAAAAAAAATCCGAAAGAGCCATAAAAAATACTTTTCAATAGGGTACCACTGTTCAAAGATATTTCACCCACGATTTCCCTTAAACTGCCCAGCCAAAGATCTATTACTGAAGTAGATATGCTAATATCTTGCCAAATCAGAAGACTATAAAATCCCAAAGATCTAGAAGGTATATCTAAACTGGAGGCTAGAGCCCCAAGAAGAACAAATTACACTGTGTTCCAGCAAACAGAGGCAGTGTGGATCATGTGCAGAAGGGCTTAAGTATTCACTTGCCCTTAATTAAAAAGCAAATTTTATCTGATCTCATCCATTTGTGAACAGTGCGTGAGATTACATTAAATAATTATGTTAAAGATATTTTCCAAAAGTTGTTTTTCCTTATGTCCTATCTTTTCAGTTTGTACCTAAAGAATAGAGGAAGAGGAGGAGGAGGAGGAGAGGGAACCTAGAGTCCTTTAAAGAAATGAAAGAGAAGTATGGATTATACTTAGTGTTTGGTAATTCTTTTTAAGTATTTAAGTCCCCATCTCCCACAACAAGCAGCAATACCTAAAGTGATTTATAAGAAATCCTCCAAAGAGAGCTCTGCAAAAGGGTCCTTTCCTGAAGCTCTGTGAGGACTTTGACTGGAGGGACTGGATGCTGCCGACAGCTGGGGGAAGAGAAGACAGAGAGAGGGAAAGAAAAAAAGATCTCAGAATGACAGAACATGAAAGTAGAAAATGTATGAAAGAAGAAGTGGTTTTTGTTTTGTCATCTTTAATAAATATAAGGGTGGCCTTTGTAGAAAATGGACTGTTAAGACAAAAGTTTCAGTCACATGTCAAGTTAAAAGGTAAGCAATGGCATGTGTTTTTCAGAAAACAAACTCTTGCTTCTGAAATTTCAAAGGAATGAAGTCTTTTATCCAAAAAGGTCGATATAAGCTGACCCATGGTTAAGAATTTTGAGTGTATGGGGGGTGGGTTATGGAGGATAGGGGAAGGAATACATAATTGCATTTTTTGAAATTGAGAGAACATAGTTTCCTGTGTCTAGGCTATCTGTCCAAAGCTATGCAAACTCTGACCTCAGTCCAGACTTAACACATCTAGCTGCAATATTCTTTCCTTTCTTTCTTTATAAGCGTAGAAAGTCCTGTCCTCAGTTCACACACTGTTTACAGGAAGTTGCTTCCTGCTCGTTTATCTGGACACATTGCAACTGACACACATACAGCGGGAGGTGAAAGGGACCTTAGGTCACCTACTGTAACTGTCACATACTGCCCTGAATATGGGGAATACTTAAGATCTTTGATTCTGCTATTTGGATTTATTTACTTGATTCTTAGAATCTGCTTCTATTGTTTAATTTGAATATACTGTAAAGCAAGTAAACCACTGAACCCAGTATGTATCTTTATTCTCCCAAATATAGACTATTCCTTAAGAACAAAGACGTTAATTTTTTAAATTTTCTTGAACTTAGTTTTAGCTGAAAAGTCAGAATTTTTTTTGTTTTGTTTTTTGTTTTATGAGACAGAATTTCGCTTTTCTTGCCCAGGCTGGGGTGCAATGCTGCAATCTCAGCTCACTGCAACTTCTGCCTCCCGGGTTCAAGCAATTCTCCTGTCTCAGCCTCCCAAGTAGCTGGGATTATAGGCATGCGCCACCATGCTCAGCTAATTTTGTATTTTTAGTAGAGACGGGAGTTTCTCCATGTTGGTCAGCCTGGTCTCAAACTCTCGACCTCAGGTGATCCGCCCGCCTCAGCCTCCCAAAGTGCTGAGATTACAGGTATGAGCCACTGCGCCTGAAGATGTTAACTTTCATACATGTATCCCCTTCATTCAGCTGACATGAGCATTTCAAACCAAACATAAACCATTTTACTTTGCAACAAACTTAATTCCTTTTCTTCCTCTGTATAAGATTGCAAAGCATGTAAGCACAGGACTATTAGAAAATGAGCTATCCTTTTAGGGATGTCCAAATGAGCAATAAAAGTTGACTAACTGGAAACAGTTTTAATTCATACTTCAACATTCAAATCCTATAGAAGATTTCTTTGCTGGTCCTAAGTGATTTCATTTCTACCTCTTTTTTTTTTTTTTTTTTTTTTTTTAGGAAAAGCACTTATTCATTAGCTCATTTAGAAAATGAACAGCCAATGAGCTTCAGCAAATATTACATCACTAGTATATACAGTTTGTTCTGGATGCCAAGATCCATTTATAGGCATCAGTTATACTTGTGGTTGAGTAATTTTCCTAATCCATATCTTGTTCCCAGAAACAAATGTTCAAAGACAATGGGAAGAGACAAATGGAAGGATGATGGAATCACGCAGGCAGCTACAGATGGGGGACAGGGCAGCATGCCTGGGCTTGAGGTTTCAAATATCATCCATGAAGAGACAAATTAAGCTGTAACTATTGGAAAGATTCCCTCTCTTCACTCTTCAGTGCAACCACAGATGAACATTCAAACGCAGTATGATTTCAAGTAAAGTGATCATCGGTTACTAAGCTGGAGGGAGTCCAACATCCACATTTATCTCCAAGATTAACTTGGTTTATCTCCAAAGCAAATTTTCTTTCACCTGAAGTTAAAACAACAGCAACAGCATATTCTACTTATCACAGATAGACTGCATCTAAAATCTGAAGTTTCCTATGACAGCCCCACACTGAAATACCTTCTTAAGTCACATGTTTTCATGAGGGTAGCAGTCTGAACACCTGACCCAAAGTAAAATACCCCTGAAGAATACAGAAGAGACAAATCTATTCTCAATAGGTGAGCATACTGCTAGACAAGCCCTAGAGGTTTATAAACAATGTTGAAAAGGATCATTTTCCCTTGGGAAAAAGAGCTGGCTTCTGACTAGTACTTCTAGCAGTCTCTTAAATTAGTAAAACACATACATACACATGTCTTAAGTCCATAAAAATGTAGCTAAACTAAAACATGATAGAGACCACCAATAAGAAAACAAGATGACATCCCTGGAATAAGTTTCTTATCAATACCCATATTAAGCAGATGAAATCATAGCCAAGGCTAGCTTGACTGACTGCACAGCTCCAAGGAGTGGGAAACCCAGCACCCCTGACCATTCTACCCCTTCCTGACATCTACTCCAAAGCACAGATACACCATGCACCAGTGAGAAAGTAGTCACCTCAGAGAGTAAATAAGAGAAGGAAAAGAAATGTGCTTCAGTAGCCCAGTTACTGCTCAGGAAAATCAAGAACAAAAGAGCATGAAGAGGCAATGGGATCTTGGTGGGTGAGAAGTAGGAGGATTTTAAAACTTGAAGAGCTGACTTGACTCTACTTATTACTGTGAGTAAATTAAAGAACATGATGTAGGGTTGCTAAGAAACATAAAAAGGCAAGGTTAAAGCACTAGAGGATAAAAAATTAAAAACACAAACCAACAACCAAAAAATGGCCATTAACATTAATCACAAACTCACCAAATTTTATAAGTGAGCATATGTGATTTATTGTTCTGGACACTAAGACAAATCATGATTGATCATTCCAGTTAAGCTCTACTCTTACGACACCAGGTATCTAGCAAAATAAAATTAAAGCAAAACAAAAAAAAACCAAAGACCCTTTACCTATTTACTTCAAATAACATTCTCTATCCCAAAATTCCCATACAGCCAAACAAAATTGGTATAGCTATAAGTTTGTTCAAATCGAAATGACCTGTGTCACAACTGAAGATGTCTTAAAGTGGTCAGTCTTACTGGTCCAATACATAGTCTTTTCTCATGTACAGAAAAATGAAATGAGAAGAGCAGCATATAAATAAAAATGCTAAAATCTGCAAGTAGTTGATGACAGTATCTCTTAAATTCCATTTTTTAAGGAATTCCTCCTTTTCCACTACTCTAATCAATCTTTAAGAAAAATATGATACAATGTTACCAAAATCTTTGCTTTATATCCAGAGCAATGATTTTTGGTGATAGAGTGTGTTTAATACAATCTTATCCACAGTGTCTTGTTCAGTCACCCAGGCTGGAGTGCAGTGATGCAGTCATGGGTCACTGAAGCCTCAATTTCCTGGGCTTCAGTGATCCCCCCATCTCAGCCTCGCAAGTAGCTGGGATTACCGGCAAGCACCACCACACCTGGCTTTTAAAATTTTTTTAAAGTAAAGATCTTGCACAATTGTTCAGGCTGGTTCAAACTGACTTTAATAAAGGACAAACACACCTAGCTTAAAGAAGGTAAACAACAATAACAAAAAGTCTACTGAAAGACTAAATAACATAAAACAAAATTGGTTACTCCTTCATTTTACTCCTGTTAAACACCAAACAACAAAAAAAAATTCATGTCAGAACATGAAAACAGCAACAATCTTAGAAAGTCAGGCTAGCGCAATTAAAAGCTTATGAGATAATGGTTGAATATTTATCATTTGGCTATACTTAAAATTCTTAAGAGAACCAACTATACCACATCTTTACATTTGAATTTTTCAGTCATCCAAAAGCCTGGGTAGCAACTTAACAATGCTGTAGAGATTCCTTTTGTTGCACTGGCAAAGTCAACATCTTAAGAGAAAAATGGATATACTCCCTTTGCGTCGAACGACAGTGCCAGGTTTTGTAGAAAGATGGATCTGAATCTAATCCTGACTCTCTTATAAGATTAGGTTTAGAATACCAGGCCCAAAACCTGTATCCCCACTTATGGTTGTCTTCAGAATTAAATGAACATAAGCAACCAGCATGTTGCCTGGCATATATTAACTCACTCAAATATTCATAGTTCCATCTTCCCTACTACCTAACATCAGATGTTCATCTACAGTTATAACAGGCCTAGCTCAAATGTCATTGCCTCTTTGTTGTTCTTGCTCTTCAGCTGTATGTCTTTCTTTTAAGGGCTCTCACTCCATCATCAACCAGTCACTTGTGTATCTGTATTACACTCACCTTTAGGCTCCTCAGGTGTAGGAACCACTTTATCGGTCTCTTGTTCAACAACTAGCAGTCACTTACACATTGTAAGCATTCTAAAATGTGCTAAATTAAAATGCCTTTTGGTGACAAGCTCCATCTAAAAACAGTCTCAAAAGTGGGATGTACAAAGAAATTATTACAACTGCCCTATTTTAAAAATTCCTATTTTTGCTGGGTGAGGTGGCTCATACCTGTAATCCCAGCACTTTGGGAGGCCGAGGAGGGTGGATCACAAGGTCAGGAGATCGAGACCATCCTGGCCAACATGGTGAAACCCAGTCTCTACTAAAAATACAAAAAAAATTAGCTGGGTGTGGTGGTGCACGCCTGCAGTCCCAGCTACTCGGGAGGCTGAGGAAGGGGAAGCGCGTGAACCCAGGAGGCGGAGAGTGCAGTGAGCCAAGATCATGCTATAGCACTACAGCCTGGGTGACAATGCGAGACTCTTGTCTCAAAAAAAAAAAAAAAAAAAAAAAAAAAATCCTATTTTTTCATGTTTTTAATGTACCTCATATATTGCAGGTAGAAATATATGAAGGTAACCTATTAATACACACAATAATGCTACACGCTTGCTATGGTTTCGAGTGTTTGTTCCCTGCAAAACTCTTGTTTAAATTTAGCTGCTATTGTAAATGGTATTAAGAGTTAGGACTTTTAAGAAGTATTTGGGTTCTCAAGAGAGTGGGTTTGCCCCCTTTTGTTTTCTCTCTGTGCCTTTCTGCCTGTCATGTGATGCCTTCCACCATGTCATCATGCACCAGGAAGGCCCTTGACAAATGCCAGTACCTTGATACTAGACTTCTTAGTCCACAGAACTGTGAGCCAATAAATTTCTGTTCTTTATCAACTACCCAGTCTATGGTATTGTTACAGCAGCACAAACAGGCTAAGATAATGCTTCAAACATGTTTTCCTAATCCTGCTGTGTAATCAAAACATTTAGAGACCATGGTGCTACTAAACAGGATTCCACAAAGACACTGAGTCACAGAACAGTTAGGCTGTTTTGGAGTAATGTTTAGAACATGGCCAGGCCATTAATGGTACACTGAATCCAGTTGCTTAGGGATATAAATATACAGCACTTTATTTCATTTATTTATATTAAAGATAATGCTATTTCTCAGCTTCCTCTGTTGGACAGGGCTAAAAGACAAGATTTCTCTACTATACACATGCAGGGGTCTGTCCTTTGGGTTAAGTCCAGTACCACAAATAACTGCTTCTTGTGTTTATGCTCAACAAAACCTCACCTTGGGTTTCTGCCTGTTAACAACATAACAAAGTTATGCCAACATTAACCTTGTCACCTTGAATGCATTACCTATTTTGTTTTAGGGGATGCCACACAGTGACCTATGAGCATTCCATTTTGGATGTATGTTGTATCTGAACCTCTCTAAAACTTTTTTTTTCCCTCCAGACATAGGGTCTAGCTCTGTTGCCCAGGCTGGAGTACAGTGGTAATCATTGTCAACTGCAGCCTCCAATTTCTGGGCTCAACTGATCCTTCTACCTTAGCCTCCGAAAGTGTTGAGATTACAGGTGTGAGCCACTGTGCCCAATTGTCCTCTTAAAATTAGAGAATAAGGACAATTCAGGGAATAGGAGCAATTTCTAAAAATAGGGCAACCTTTTAAAATTGTCTTAGTCACTTTCAAGCATTTTCATTTGATCCTTACAGCAAAATGATAGAGAACAAAAAGTAATACCACAATTTTACAGATAAGGAAAATAAAATCCCAGCACTTTGGGAGGCCGAGGCGGGTGGATCACGAGGTCAAGAGATCGAGACCATCCTGGTCAACACGGTGAAACCCCGTCTCTACTAAAA